TCTTTTTGCTTATGTGGTGCTGAGGAGTCGAACTCAGGGCCTCATGCATGCAAGGTAAGCACTCCACCACTGAGCCACCTTCCCAGCCCTTGACTTGAGTTTTGACACTGAATGGCCTTTGTAAGGGTTTGCCCAGGTAGAACAGGTAAGGGTCATTTAAAAGGGGGAAAGTATAGTTACTGAGTGAGGATGTCAACCCCAGAGCCTCATTGGCTGTGTCATCTGTGGCACAATGATGGGAATTTCTGGACTCTCCTTATGCATCTTGCTGGGTTTTTCTTGTGTTGCAGATTCTTACCACAACCACACAGGCCAGGGAGACAAACTCGGTGCTGATGGCAGTGGTATAAGTGGCCCAGGAAAGATGCTTATATAAGAGATGGAGAGTAAGGGTGAGTCCTGAATGATTGTAGACCATATATTGTGGGTTTACATCGGAAGAGACATCCTATATTATTGTCACAGACACAGGAATCACATTGTCCCAAACAGGAAAGCCTGGAATTATGCCCATTATTATGGAGTGCAAAGAGGAAAGGTCATAAATACTACATTGCATGTCTTCAACCCTGTCTGTCTGTTTAATTTTCATCAAGGTGTCAAATACCTTAGATAACAATATGCATGAGAACAGATTTATTTAAACTCATGGATTCAGAGGGTCAGTCCATGGTCAGTTTGTTCCATTGCTGTGTGCCTGTGATGAATCAGAACATCAGTCAAGGCAATGGGAAGACATGTAAAGTTCACTCATGGCAGCCAGGAAGCCAAGACAGGAATGGGAAAAGGAAACCTTTCAAACATACATCCCATTGACCTATTTCCTCCAGCTTGGCTTGAACATGACATTACTTCCATACTTCTATCACATTGACTCATTCCTTGGTGAAGTCAGAGTAGTTGTTATCCAATTACATGTCAATGACTGAATTCACCACTGGTGCAACAAACACTGAACCCATGAGCCTTTTGGGGATACTTCATGTCCAAACCATAAGAATCTATCTACCATGGGCATCAAGAGCATAGAGACATTTCATAAGACAGAAGGCACTTAGTCTTTGTCCAGGAGTAGTTTCTAAAGGCTTCATAACTCCAACATTGTTCTCAGGTTCTAATCTCATATCTCCTCTGAGACTCAAGGTAAATTATGAGCTGTGGTTCTCTGAAAACTGAAGAGGAAATTAAATGTGTCCATTGACTAATTGTACTGAGTATGCATCTCCATTTCCAAAGGTAAGAATTGAGACACAGAAGAGGTGATAGGATCAGAGGAAGACCAAAACACACACATTAAATCCTGTAGATTCATGTCTACCATTCAGGGCAAATGATGATGTTATGTGGTCTCTAAGAGTCTTACACAATACACCCTCTGTAGTCTTTCATGCTGCAGCCAGCTCACCCTCTCTTGTGCTGGCTATGATCACTATTTGCAGCTTTAGTGAGCAGACATTCTTCATTCATTGCATCATCAACTTGCTTGGATCTTCCTTGGAGGTTAGGTTTTATGCTCACACTTTCATCCATCAGCTTATGTCAGCAGTTGCCTGCAGGGACTCCAGTACTGCCATCATTGGCTAGATTCCCAGGCTTCCCTCTTATATCTAGATGTCAGTCTCCATCAAACCATAAGTCTTGCTATTGCAATCATTACCTCATGGGTGATGCCAATAGCTGTCTACTAGTAGCTCAGAAGGTAGCTGGGCCCCTGGGTGCCACTGTTGCAGTTTTTTCCTATTGCATGTGTTGTGGACCACTGTGAAATGAACCCAAGACTGAATTTCCCAGGAGGCCCTATGCAAGTGAAAGTGTTTCAAATGCGTATAAACTTTTATAACTCAGAGTCTAAAAATTGTGTGGTCTGGCTACTTCCTGAAATATCCTCAAGGCACCTGTTTTATTCTTCCTAAAAGATGTATTGATTTCATTATCTTTGATTATCTTTAGCAATCACATTTAACTTATTAATAATCTTCACTATACTATTTTTTAAAGCCAAATTGCACATTTTTCCAGATTTTTCTCCTCTGCAATTTATTCCTCATTTTCACTATCAATCTGGATAACAGGACCCAGAAATAAGGGTGTCAAGCTTATAAGGTGAACTACCTGAAATTTCTTTCACCATGTGAATTAGTCGAACAATTTCAGACTCAAATGTCTCAAGGCATGGCCAAATATAGATAACTTCTTTGCCAGATATAACACAAATAAAATTTAGTCCAGTTTCTAATAGAATCATGTTTCCATCTGAGACCTCATGAGCACAGTCATATGTCTACATTCTTATTGGCATTCTGCTCTTGAAATCTCCACCTAGCCTCTTGTTTCTTCCTTGTACTTCCAGCGTTCTGGGTCTTTACTCACACACATCTCCTAAATTTTCCAAATTCTATCCACAAAATAGTTCCAAAGGCTTCATAACCACATTGTGAGTTAGTCACAGCTCCTTCACTTTCCTGGTACTAATTGTCTCTGTTTGTTACACTTTTTCTTCACTGTGAAAAATACTTTAGGAAACAAATCCTGATAGGAGGTATTTATTTTGTCTCCTAGTTCAGAGATACAGTCCATGACCACTCTGCTTAATTGCTGTGAGTTGGGGTAAGACCAAATAAGGTGACAAGATCTTAGACAAATGGTTTAACCAGAAGAGAAAAAATAAAAGAGAGAGAGAGAAAGAGAGAGAGAGAGTGTGTGTAATTGAGAGGAAACCAGGGGGAAAATTCCCTTCAAAGTAGATTATCTTCCTTTAAGACCTGCCTCCAATCACCACCCAATGAGACAAGAGATTATGAACCCATTAGAGGGGAATTTTTTGATTAAGTCACATCCTTCAATATGGAATCATATCTTAAACATAGGACCGACCATCTGGGCACCAAGATTAAATAAATATGCCTTTTGAGGACACCTATATGCAAAGTATAAAAGTGACTGAGGTACAATGGAGTCTTCATAGGAATTTAGTTAATAAACCACATTCTTAGTACAGGCAGGGTTGGTGATGGTAGGGTAGCAGTATTGACCATGAAAATTCTCATCCAGGTCTGGTTTGTTGTTGAAGTGATGATTCCTCATACTCATTGCAGTTAAAATATTTACCTATATACCTACCAAGTTTAAGCCAGGCAGGTATTGATGGAGAGTAAAGCTGAAACCCCAAGACTGGTCTATGGGAAACAAATGGGACTTTGAGTGAATAAAGGGGCAGAGGGCCATGATCTGTATAATTCCAGTTCTTCTACCAAGACATCACAAAACATTACCAGGAGGGGAGTCTGGAGGGAGAAGGCAGAGGAGAAGCTGGGGGCTAAACAAGCTCTCACACACCAGTTTTAGTGTTCCAGTGAAAAGTCCAAGGCTAGAGAGTCATACCAAGTGTATGATCATAGTACAGAGAGTTTGGCCAGAGAGGAAAAATCCAGGCAGCTTGGTTAAGGAGACAAATTCGAGCACTCACTGGTGTCTGCGGTGGCAGCAGTGGCTGCTGCTGCTGTGGCTGCCATATCAACAGAGAGAGCCTGGAACAAAGGCACCAGAGGCAGTGTGTGAGTGGATTATACTTATCTCCAACAAGAACTGATAAGGAGCAGAAATCTTTTCCCAGTTGTCCACAGACAGTCATAGACAGTGGATGGCTTGGAAACCAAGGGTAAGGCATGAGTTACCCCCAAGCCATCCTCACGCCTTCTCACAGAGCAGTGGTGGGAAGATAGCCCCTCCTCAACCACCAGAGAAGAACTCCAACTTTGATACTGACAAAGATCGGTCCAGAGCAGCTAGCACATTACTCAGGTCTTGGAAGAAGACAATAGAAGCTATTCAACAGGTAAAAGGAACCTGACTTGAGGGGTTCAGCTACACCCAGAGGAAAGTAGCCCTACACAGGCAGAAGAAGCTTTGCCCACAGAGGAGTGACTTTCTTCACAGGGTAAACAGCCAGAGGCTACTCCTCCCCACTGCTGCTTAGGCAGAAGACCCAGCAGCCCGAGGGTAAAAAACAAAACAAAACAAAACAATTGAAACTCAGTGAGTAAATCCTGAGAATGGCTCTAGGCTGGGCTGTGTGAGTGTCTCAGGAGCTAGCCCCTCAGGGAAAAGCTACTGATTGCTGACAGGCCTCAACCCTACCCACAACCTAACCCCATCACAGCAACTCCAAACTAGAGGAAACAGCCTTCTCCCTGTTTTGTGATACTCAAAGCAGATTTCCCTCCCGCTGAACTAGTGTGGGAGGAGGGTCATAAAGTCCCTGGTAAGGCGGGGCTTTCTGTCTGCTTGACCAAACTGGTTTAAGAAACCAATCAAGGCCCAGGAAAACCAAACACCATAAGAAAACCAGAGACTCCACCAAGAGACTGGTTATGGACACAGGGGAGACACAAGATCCCCACAAGAATCAAAGAAGAAGATAGTTGGCACAGCCCCCAGGAAAGTGGACAACATGGCAGGACCTACCAAAAATCTCACAGTCCTAACTCTCAATCTTAATGGACTTAACTCTCCAATGAAGTGACATAGATTGTCTAGTTGGATCAAAAAACAAGATCCTTCTATCTGCTGCCTTCAAGAGACATACCTTGCCCACAAAACAAACATATTTTGAAAGTGAAAGGCTGGAATAAAATCTATCAAGCAAACGGTCCCCATAAACAAGTCGGAGTTGCAATCCTAATATTAGATAAAATAGACTTCAACTTAAAATTAGCAAGAAGAGATCGGGAAGGTCACTACATACTAATTAAGGGATCTCTCCTTCAGCAGGATATTACAATTCTAAATATCTATTCACTAACAATGGGGCACCCAAATTTATCAAAGAAACACCACTTTCCCTAAAATCTCACATAGATTCAAATACATTAATTTTTGGGTACTTCAACACACCACTATCTCCGTTGAAAAGATCAATCCAGCACAAACTCAACAGAGAAACCTCGGATCTAAACAACTGCATAGGTCAACCAGACTTAACAGACATCTACCGAATATTTCACCCAGCAGCATCAGAATACATGTTCTTCTCAACAGCACATGGAACATTCTCCAAAATAGACTATATTCTATGTCACAAAGCAAATTTGTCCAAATTCAGAAACATTGAAATATGCCCTGCATTCTCCCAGACCACAAGGGAATAAAATTAGAACTCAACACCAAAAGCCACCAAAGAATATCCTGTAACACATGGAGGCTGAACAGCATACTGTTGAATCACCAGTGGGTCATGGAAAAGATTAGAAAGGAAATTCAAATGTTCATGATATTTTACAAAAATGAACACACAAATTATCATCTCCTCTGGGACACAGCAAATACAGTACTCAGAGGCAAGTTTATAGCTCTGAGTTCCTACATCAACAAATTGGAGAGAGCTGAAGCCAACAATTTAAGGAGGCACCTGAAGCTCCTTGAAAAAGAGCAACAAGCTAAACCCCAATCCAGTAGATGGAAACAAATAATTAAAATTAAATCAGAATTAAATGAATTAGATTCCAAAAAAAACATAGAAAGAATCAACAGACTAAAGAGTTGCTTCTTCCAAAAAATTAACAAAATTTACAGACCCTTAGCAAATCTTATGAGAAAAAGTAGAGAACACACCCAAATAAATAAACTCAGAGATGAGAATGGAAACATCACCACAGAGACAACCAAGATTCAGAACATTATAAGGGAATACTTCTCAAACCTTTATGCTAATAAGTTTGAGAATCTGGAAGAAATGGGTGACTTTCTAGCAAATATTGATATGCCCAAACTAAACCAAGATGATTTAAACCTATTTAACAGACCCATATCAAGTATCAAAATAGACCTTGCACCCAAGAAAAGCCCAGGACCAGATGGATTTACACCTGAATTCTATAAGGCCTTAAAAGCAGAACTCACACCAATACTCCAATTCTTCAATGAAATTGGAAGTAAAAATTCACTACCAAACTCTTTCTATGAAGTAATTGTAACCCTAATCCCAAAACCAGGAAACCCTCATCCCAAAACCAGGTTGGGACTCATGAAAGAAAGAGAACTATGAACCCATTTCTTTAATGAACATCAATGCAAAACTCAACAAAATTTTGACCAATCAACTTCAACAACTTATCAAAAAAAAAATCATACAGATGGGAAGGGATGTAGGAGAAAAACAAAGGAGGAGGTAACAATGCTCAATAGGAAATGTACTCATTACCTTACTCATGTAACTGTAACCACTCTGTACAGTATCTTTATAATAAAAATATACAAATATACACACACGTACACACACATGTGCAGACATATGTGTGTATACACATGATGTGTCTATACATATATACACGTATACATATATACATATGTGTGTATACACACATCTACAAATACACGAAAAAAGCAAATGAGTCCCTAAATTCAAGCTCAGTACCAATACACACACACACACACACACACACACACACACACACACACACACCCTTCTAGCTTTCAAATGAACCAGAAAAAGTTGAGTGAAAACTCCAAGACAGGGACATAAAATATTTTTCTTTGTTGTTGTTTTTAATGTTTTTTTTTTTTTTTGTCGGTCGTGGGGCTTGAACTCTGAGCCTGGGCGCTGTCCCTCAGCTCTTCAGCTCAAGGCAAGCGTTCTACCACTTGAACTACAGCGCCACTTCCGGTTTTCTGGTGGTTTATTGGAGATAGGAGTCTCACGGTCTCTCCTGCCCGGGCTGGCTTTGAACTGCGATCCTCAGATCTCAGCCTCCTGAGTAGCTAGGATTACAGGCATGAGCCACCAGCGCCTGGCTTTGTTTTTTAATGTTCTATGTAATTTTTTTGTATTTTTCCCCCAGTTGTCACTGTATTTGATTTTGGTACCCTGGGTATTGTATATATGTCTATCTGATTTAGGGCAGGGAAGGGAAATAAAAAAATGGTGAGAGAAATGACAAAGGGAGAACCAATGCAATGGTGATACTTGTGGGGAAATCTGTGGGGAACACAGGTAGCAAAGATGGCCCTAAGCGGAAGTTGAGTGGGCAGAGCTGGATTTGTTCAGGTTCAGTGTGTAAACAACTCATGAAAGCTTAGGTGCATGTTAAGGTGTGGCCTTTCAGTGATTGGTTGATCCCATTTTAAAAGGGGATGCTCCCTGTTAATAAAAGAGTTCCTGCTTGATTTGACTCCCCGCTGTGTCTGATTGTCTCCTGGGCTAAGGGAGGCTGGGGAACGGGCCAGTGGCTGCACTTCACTTCACACTTACCTCTCCTCAGACCCGGTCCGTCCAAAGACGGATGAAGACCCATCAGATACTCACTAGATCATATATTGGAAATGATCTGGACAACTTGGGCGAGTTGCGGGGGGAGGAAAAGTGGGAAAAATGAGGGATTAGGTAACAAGTTTGACAAGAAATGTACTCACTACAGTTACTTATGTAACTGTAACCCTTATGTACATCACCTTGACAATAAAACTAAAATTTAAATTAAAAAAAGGAAAAAAATTACCAGGATACAGTTTGCAGAAGGAAGAGAAAGAAATGAAAACTTATCTATTATACTCTGCCTGACCTGCTGAACTCATCATCCTGGTAGCCTGCAAGTTGGGTATGGTATAGCAGTGTGAGTCAAAGAAGTTACGTAGCATCTCTTGTCTCTGTAAGAAGAATGAGGAGAACAACATTTAGCTAGAATTTTGTGACTTACACTTCCTTGGCTGCCTTGCTATCTGATCTTCCATCATTGAAACTTAAATCTCCAAAAGTCTTAGAGACAATGAAGATCCCGGGAAAGAGTGCACAAAACGGTGTGCAGAAATAACTACACTTGTTTGTTATATGGAATTTCTCAAGTAATATCATACCAGATAGTTGCAGAGATGTATCTTTTCTCTGGTACATTCATTATTCTGGAGACCAGAGGGTTACTTTGAGCAGCCACCGAGTGTGGCTTAAATACAAGATTTTCTTCAACTCTCCCTTTTCCTCTCTTTCTTCCCTTTTCCTTGCCTCTGCTCCTTCTACTTCTCTCCTTTCCTCTCTTCTGTCCTCTCCTCAGGTTCTCTGCTAACCATAACTTTGCCTTGATCTCTTTACCTTAATTGAATCACACTGCTATATTCTACTTAGTTTTGTGGACACTGTGGTTTGATGGTTTCAGCCGATGATGCAGAGAATAACAAGAAAGCTTGATTTTCTCTCACTTCCTTCTTTAAACGGTGTCACTCGAATGTTTCATAATCTCTAGGTGTAAGAACTGGAATGTAGAGATCAGGCCTCTCCACCACTTTCTTCACACCTCATTGGTGTCCTAAGGACCAGATTTAACTGTCTTTCTCATCCTCCAACATTCTTATTTTTCTGCTTCCAAAGCAAATATCATTGTATTTGAAAAAATCTTGTGGGGGCTTTATTCGTCTATAGAAGCAGAACATGGGGTTGGTTGAGATTGTTGGCTACTCTAATTATAGACAGATTGTTCACATCCACACAAAAAAATGGAGATAAGAATCCTTAGTTGTTGGTCACAAACTCAGGATTTGATCAGGTATGACTCATGCATGTGGTGGGGAGGGGTGTAGAAGACAGGATTCAAGGGGCCTTCATTGACCTCTGGACTCACCTCTGTACCTTTCCTCCCTAGATACCACAAGTATCCTGACTACCATTACGCCATCACTTTCCATGATTGCCTGAATGCCTCCATCCACCTCCTGAAGTCACTGAAATTCTATGGGGTGGACCTCTCCCGGGTTGTGTTCTGTGGAGACAGCAGTGGAGGTACCATAGTGGCCAGCATAACCCAGACTTTGATTGGCAGACCAGATCTTCCCCACATCCGAGCTCAGATCCTGATTTATCCATGGGTGCAGTTTATAAATTTACAGCTATCTTCATTTCAGCAGAGCAAAAGTATTCCATTGCTCACCAGAAATTTGATATTGATGATCATGTGTAAATATCTGGCCATTGACTTGTCTTGGAAAGATGCTCTATTGACTGGTGCTTGTATTCCTGTGGATGTTTGGGAGAAGTACAGGAAGTGGCTGAGCTCTGACAACCTTCCTGAAAGGTTCAGGAAGAAAGACAAGCAGCAACCCGAATTTCCTGAACCTTTTAATGAGGCTGCCTATCTGGAAACCAAACACATTTTTGATATAGAAAACTTACCCCTTCTAGCAGACGACAATATCTTTGCTCAGATTCCTGAAGCCTTCATCGTGACCTGTGAGTGGGACATCCTCCGAGATGATGGCCTGCTGTACAAAAAGCGCCTGGAAGACCAGGGGATCCCTGTGACCTGGCACCATGTGGAGGATGGTTTTCATGTATGCATAAATTTCTTTGATAAGAAGATTTTCTCTTTCCCCTGCTCCTGGAACATTATGAATACTGTTTTCAGTTACATAAAGGACATATGAAGACCTAACAATTCAGCTTATACATAGTACACTTTCCTAGGTTTCGTTAGGCCCTTGATTCAGTTCTGAGAATTACAAATAAAAGAACAAAGTGAAAAAAAGTAAACAAAAAAGCTGGAAGCATGGCCCAGTGGTAAATCACCCGCCTAGCAAATGCAAGGCTGAGTTCAAACAGGAGGAGTACCAAACAACAAACAAAACAAGTAACAGACAATCACCCAAAAGACATATAGAAACTCCCCCACCCACCTAGAACTAAGGCTATTTGGTAGTAACACTCTGAATTAGGAGAAACTAAGCATGATATCTACCACCAGGTCAATCTTTACTGAGATCTGTGTTTCAAAGGAGATGCTGTATCCCAGCATAGTCCTGGTGGGAAGTAAGACTAAAGAGGGAGAAATGAAGTTCTTCTGGGTTTGCATTCAAGAAACACAGTCTTTCTTTTTCCTTCAAGTATCAAATCAACAGCATCCATAGTTGTATTTGGCAACACTCTACCATTCTCATTGAGAGAATGAAAGAAAATGGAGAGCATGCCGTTAGTATTTCCTTGAAAACCCCTTGATCTATGCAGAAAGTGATCATAATGCTAATGAAGAGAATCCCTATTCTTGAGGATGGAGCTCTACATCCCATGGGAGGTGGGGTCATCATTATTCCCACCATCAAGGTCAGACTCCAAAGCCCAATTCACTTTGGCTCCAGCGGATCTGAGAAACAGATTTGTAAAAAATTTTCTCCTTGATCTGGTTACCCTTAGACAGTAGGATCACACGGGGCTTTGTAAGAAAAAGACACCAGGGAAGAGTCAAAAAGGGAAGGAAAGGAAGGTAAGGATGAATTCTAATGAGCTTAAAACTTTGTCTAGTTCAAGCCATGAATCAGAATTCCTGCAATAGCTTTCACTACCAAGTGCATGCATGAGGCCCTGGGTTTGATTCCTCAGCACCACATAAGCAGAAAAAGCCGGAAGTGGCACTGTGGCTCAAGTGGTAGAGTGCTAGCCTTGAGCTGAAGAACTGAGGGACAGCACCCAGGCCCAGAGTTCAGGCCCCACAACTGACCATTAAAAAAAAGAAAATATGTCCTAGAAGATAGAAGAAAACAGGTTCCAAGGGAGAGAACAATGAGTTAAATACTGTAACAGTCTTCTAATGGTTCTGCTGCCCCCTGCAAAGCAAAAGCAAGTATAAACCTAATTAAAGAAAAGCAAAAAGAATGAACTAGGTTGCAAAAAGATAGGAGGAGAGGAATGGCAGAATTGGTTGTAGATGCTGGTGAAGAGACAGCAGAAGTTAAAACTTTACCAGGAGTGGGGGAGAGCTTTCACAGTATCATGGGACCAAACTAGATAAGAATAATGTGACAGAATGGTCAAATGGTGAGTGTAGCCTGCTGGTGGGATGCCTAATAGTCACTGAATCCAGATAGCCTGGGTTCATGGTGGGAATTTGCACTCAGTCATCTTGGAGAGCTACTCTACCACTTGGGACAGACTTCTCTTATTTGTAGAGTTTGGATGACCTCACTACTCAACTTATAGGCTACAATGAAGGTTAAATGAATCAAAATCATTGAAATACTTGGACATATTTATTCATACCCAGAATTCTTGTCTTTTGCATTGATAACAAATGTCTGCTTCTGCCACCTTCTCTCCCATTTCAAAGTCAACAGAATCTATTGCTTTCTTCAGCGATCTCATCCTCTCTCTCAGAATTTCTATATTTGAACCTTGACCTCTCATCCACAAGACCCTGTGATTCTGTTGTTTATTCTCAAATAATTTTGACTAATCTCTATCTCCAAATCATTAACTACATGGCACTTACATAGTCCCTCTTGCTGTGTTAGGTAATATATTCACAGTACTGAGGACTAAGCTGTAGACATCTCTGAGTGATCATTATTCAGCCTGTCATAGCCATCATTTCTGGCATTACAACCATTTTGTTTGTAGGAAGCCAGAAGCAGTCCTTCACGGAAGTGCTGGAGTGAAGGTAGAGTCAACTCATCCCCCCACAAAACATGCTCTATTGCTCACAAGATCAGTGAATTTTCGCCTGAGACCCAGGTGTCAACTCACTGTATTCTAAGTTTGAGATGCTCATCCAGATACCACAATTTCCTCATCACTAATCATATGTAGTATTTCTTTCAAAGTCATAGCCATTCAGCACTAGCAACTAAAACATAAATCAGTCCATGGAAAATCACATTTCTCACAACCTAGATGAACTAAACAATTAATGTCCCACTGGAGTCCTGCTCACCAACATCTCTTCCTTTTGTGTTGTTCAGGGTCTCCTCTGAGGAGCTATAGTGTTGCTCCGGCCACTTTCAGGTGGTACTTGCATGTTTTACATATGAATCTGTAAGCCAAGACTGGGTTGTCTCTTCCTCTATGCTTGACTTTAACCAAATCTTCAGAAAGCCATAGCTCTGAACTGAGGAAGAGGAGTCAGTAAAGTAGGTATTGATATAGAAGAATTCCATGCTGCTTGCTCAACCCAAAGCTGCTCTCTAGATCTTCCTTAGCCCTGTCTCTTATTTATTTTCATTAATAATAGATTGTTAGTCAAATAATAATAAAATTCATATGAAACCATAAGAGGCCCTGAATTGCAGCAGCAACTTTTAAAAGACAAAGTACCATTGGAGGTGTAACAATATCAAATTACAAACTCGAATTCAGAACTATGGTAACAAAAATAGCTTTGTCCTGGCACAGAAACAGGCCCAAGGACCAATTCAATGGAATAGAAGACTCAGAAATAAATCCAAAAAACCTAGAACCCTTTCATATTGAATAAGGGAGTTAAACACACAGACTGGAAGAAAAGCTGCTTCTTCAAAAATTGGTGCTGGCAAAACTGAATATCCCCATGCAGAAAACTGAAACTAGATCCTTACCAGTGTCAATTCAAAATGGATGAAATACTTCAGTGTTAGATCTGAAACCATAGAACAGTTATAGGAAAGAATAGGTGAAACTAGGGCTCCTGGGCATAGGCATAAACTTTCAGAGTAAGATCTAGAAGCACAGTAAATCAAAGAAAGACTTGATAAGGGAGTCAGAGGAAGATGGCAGAGGAGAAGTTGGAGGCTAAACAAGCTCTTGCATAGAAAGCAGTTTTAGTGTTCCAGTGAACAGTCCTAGGCCAGAGAATTACACCAAGTGTGCCATCACAGTACAGAGACTTTGGCCAGAAAGGGAAAATTCAGGCAAGGAGACAGATCTGAGTACTTGCTTGTTGCCACCATACCTACAACACAAAGTCTGGGACAAAGGCACCAGATGCAGTTGGAAAGCGGATTCTACTCAACACCAGCAAGAACTGATGAGGAGCAGATATCTTCATCCTGCAGATCGCAGACCAGAGATGATCCAGGAACCAAGACTCCAGTGTGAGTAGAAGCCTGACATCCTCACTCCTCAGGGAGCAGAGGAGGGAAGGCCACCCCTCCCCACCCCCCACCGGAGATCACTATCTTTGATACTGACAAAGGTCCTGCTGAGCAGCTAGCTTCAACTCAGGTCTTAACAAAAGAGTCATTTAGCAGGTCACAGGACCCTGACCTGACCTACCAGGCTCAGCCCCACCCAGGGAAAATCACCCCGCTCAAATCCACCCCTGAAGGAGTGACTTTCTTCAGTGGGTAAACAGAGCCAGAGGCTGCCCCTCCCTACAGCAGCCTAGACAATCAATTGAAATTCAGTAAACATAAACCCTGAGAATGGCTCCAGGCTGGGCTCTGCGTGAGTGTCTCAGAAGCTAGCCCCTCAGGGAAAAGCTACTATCTGCTGAAAGGCCTCAACTCTACCCAGAACCTAGCCTTATCACAGCATCTCCACACTAGAGGAAACAGCCATCTCCCTCTTTTGTGATACTCAAAGCAGATCTCCCTCCCACTGAACTAGCCTGGGAGGAGGATCATAGAATCCTGGGTAAAGCAAAGCATTATTCTGCCTGTTCAAACAAACTGACTTAAGAAACCAATCAAGCCACAGGAAAACCAAACACCACAAACAGACCAGAGACTCCACCAAGAGACTGGTTATGGACACAAGGGAGATACAGGATCTTCCCATCCACCCCCCCAAAAAAAAATCAAAGAACTCTTTTTTGTACCTTTAAAAAATTTTAATTAAAAAATGTTTTCTATTAATCTGTTTTTCTTCACATAATTTTTATTTTAGGTGTATATGTGTGTGTGTGCTTTTTTAAAAAAAATCTCTACTGACCTGTTGGTCATTTTTTTTCATTCTTTTCATTTTTTCTTCTTTTTCATTATTTTTTGCGTGACTTAATTGCTGTTCTGCTCATCCTCAGATATATACCAGTCAGACCTTATTCCCCATTGTGTATACACTTAATCCAGAAATTTATTACTCAATTCAAAACCTCTTAGGCTTAAATTCTTTAATAGCAGTGTTATCTCTTTATACCTATATAATTTTTTAGGAATTTTTATTTTTTAGTTTTTCATGTCTCCTTTCTATCCCTCCCCTACTCTCATCCTATCCTTCTCTCAATATCACGTCTTTAAATTTGCATAATTTTAAGCATTTCACTTTTTAAATTTAAATTTTTGTTTTTCCATTTTTCTAGTTTTTTTTTTTTCCTATCATTCTGTCCAATCCATTTCCCTCTCTGAGATTAGGACTTGGTTAAATTCACTCTCCTTTTACCTCTCCACATCCCTTTAATCCTATTTTCCCTCACATTTCTCCCTAAACCTAATGATTTCTGGTTTGCCAAATTATTCTTTGCTGTTCTTAGCCCATTAATCCATAGTTGTTTGATGTTGAATAGATTGTATCTGTTGAACTAGATTGTATCTGCAGCCTTTGACTGTGCAACTAGAGGACTTTGGTTGATGCTTGCTTTAAAATAGTGTTCTAGCACAAAATTGGTGTTACTTTCATACCAAATGGGCAGAACAAGCCAGAAAAACACAAGAAAAATGGCAAGTCCGAGTATCTGAACTCCCAC